TTTTTAAATTAAAAATGTTTGTATGGACAGGATTTCAAACACGACCTTGGTGGACAGTGGCGTCTAGTGGTGTCCTTCCTCAGGTCTGACTGGGAAGCCGTTCTTCGAAGACGTCACTTTCTATTCTTACCAGAGTGAGAGATTGGTTGGAGTGGACACTGAGTTTCACTGAGCAATTGCTTTCTAACTTACTTGTTAATAGTATATATATACATGTATATATATTATGTGTGTGCATGTGTGTTAATATGTGTGGATATGGACACGTGTGGGGTTAATGTGTGTGGATATGGACCTCAGGTGTTGGCCCTCTGACTGTTCTCTGCAGTCCAGGCTACCTGGGCCTTGGGCCTCCAGGAACTCTCCTGTCTCCATCTCTCATTTTGCTGCAGGCATGCTGGGATTACAGACACATGGTGTCGGGCCAGCTCTGTGTGGGCTCTGGGGATTGAACTCAGGTTCTCAGGTCCTGCTGAGCCATCGTCCAGTCCCCACAGCAGATGCTTCCTTAATACACCACCGGCAGCGCCTTCCCTTTGATCTGCTGATAGAGTAAATTATACTTACAGGGTTTTCACATTTAAACGATTCTGAAATGTAATTTACTTTATCCAGCCTGTTATTACAAAACTCTTCACCTATCAGACTGGCAAAAATCTGAGCGTTTGGGGCCTGGAGAGATGGTTCAGTGATTAAGTGCCCTGACTGTCCCAGGGGAGGCTTCTTGTTGGACTCCAGCACCTACGCTGTGGGCAACAACCCTCCACGACTCCAGTTTCACGGAATTGGATGCCCCCTTCTGGTCTCTGTGGGCACTAGGCATGCACATGGTGCACATACACACATGCAGACAGCACATCCATGAAAATTAAAGGAGGAAATTCTTGTATGTTACATGTGCTGTGCTGCTATGACATTGCTTCTCTTGGATGCGGGTTTTGTGTCTTTTGATGTGGAGCAGTTTTTAATTTTGATTCCTTTAGTCATATCAGCTTGTCCCAATTATGTTAGCTTTCTTCACGAAGAACCCCCCTCCTCTGATATTGATTTGGGGCATCTTTGCGGCACACCAAGCTTTCCTGTATGTGCGGATCTGCTGTGGAGTCCTAGTTTTCCAGTCCGCTGCTCCATTTGTCTAGTTTTAGGCCATTGCCAGGCTATTTTATGTTTCTTTATTTTAATTAATTTGTTATAAGATCTGTGGTATTCGTTGTAGTATGTTGTAATATGTAATATGTTGTATGTAATACATAATACTAAATATGTTGTAAAATAGTCCCATGTGGACTGAGATGGCCTGGAAGTTACGATCTCCATGCTGCTCCATTCTGAGTGCCTGAGTGCCGGCATGACAGTGTGACAGATCACCTGAGCCAACCCGGAACTCAATGTGTAGCCAAGAGTGACCTGGAAGGAGTCATGATCCCCATGCTGCCCTGTGCCCAGTGCTGGCTTTACAGTGTGTCAGATCGCTTTAAACTCTGGCTCTCGGGAATGCATTTTGATACATGGTGTGAGAACAGTTGTTACTTTTTTCAGACTTTAAAACACAATCTATTTCATCTTTAATGTCTTTATCTTTTGAGAAGTTCATACAATGTATCTTAATATATTCTTTCCCCTCTCCCAACTCCTCCCTGTTGCCACCAAAACCAGGGAATCCGATTTGTGCTGGCCGGCTGCTCCTCAGCATGAGGCCTGCCCTTCAGTGTGGGTGACACACACTATGTCACTCCGTGCAGCCACTGACTGCCAGTGACTTCCTGACTGGGGGAGGGACTTTGTCCTCACTTCCCCTTCGCCATTCTGGGATTTTGGGTTTCAGACTCTTCTCCAGGTCTCCCAGGCATGTCCTACTGTGTGAGTGCTACGTGCCAACTGAGGCCAGAGGGTCTCATGTGCTCTCTCGGATTAGACTGGACCTCTTCATGTGAGATCTTTGGTGGTTTTAGTAAGAAGTGCACAGCGTCCATGAGTTTACGTCAGGAAACTTGTCTTTATGATGTACACGGTTTCCATCTACTTAGAGATTTTTAAAAATTTATTCATGTTATCATCAATGTAACTTTAATTTTTTCCGAATAGGAACTTATACATTTTAGTTTTCTCTGGGGATTTCAAGATTTTGTTGCCATTGTGAATATGACTTTCCCAGCTATTTCTCCCTCGTACACTTCATCTCTCTGAGTGTGCGAATGCTTCTGTCTGTAATTCTTCTAGAATTATATCGGAAGTCAGGAGGGAGTAGGGATCCTTACTCATTAGGGGAAGGGAAGGTTCTGGAAAGATTCCAAAAGGAGCCTTCCCTTTGAGCAGGGTCTCATGCAGGCAAGGGGTGAGCTGTGCAGTTGCTGGATGGGAAGGGAAGAGGCAGCAGCTATGTGGGGAAGTTCAAAGGCCGGAACGATCCTGTTTGTTGGGAGCTGGGAACAGGCAGATTGATTGGATTCACTGTCTCTGCAAGACTGAGCGTGATCCAAGATAACTTCTACACCCAGGA